ATGCTTCTGTCCTTGTTCATGGCTTCTGCTAAAGCAGCACCTGAGTAGCTTACTTTACCTGCAGTAGAAATCAGATGGAAAAATGTAAGTGTTGAGGTCTGGCTTCACTCTATCGCTGTCAGCAGTGGTCTTATGTTGTTGAAATCCACCTTTCCTCTTGGGGCAGGGGGGGAATAGTCATTTACTGGCATGCCCCAAATTTAATTTGTGATTCGTGAACAGGGATGAAATGCAGATGTTGATCTCCCTTCCAGACAACCCCCCCGAATAAGTGCTTCTGGCGTGTGAACGTCTGTCCGTACAGCAAATGCTAAGGACTCTGCAAGGAGTGTCCATGTATGAGTGTGTCCCCCTCCTCCCTACCCCTCAGAGCAGCATAACTGGCACTACCAGCTGCTTTTTCATTTGGCTTGAGATAAAAATACACTGAACAGAAGAACATCTTAACAGAAATACTTAAAGAAGTCATAATCTTTTGAACTACTCTGCTATCTCACTCTCTGTTTAGCCTTTTCCAGTGAATATTTTCAGTCTTTTCCTTGGTCTTGAGTTTCTGGCTTAACTGTGTTGTGGTTAAAGGATCTACTGAAATTTTTTTTTAAAACAGGTTGGCTCTTGGCTTGTTGGCTTTTCCTTTTTCTCCTGTAAGCTGGCTCAAAAGTTGTTGTATTGGTACTTAAAATTAATTCTTTTAATTTAAATTTGTCTTTATGCAGGCTCTTTAATATAAGAAGTAAATTGGTGTTTGTATCTTCCAGGGAGATTAAAATGTTGCATTTTAGAGGGTGTTTAAACAGATTTTTTTCTCTCTTTACTATCCAGTGCCTTGGATCTTTTATATAAAACCAATTATAAAAGTTAATGAAGAATCAGTGATTCAAACTGTATGGAAAAGTTACTGACTTTTTAATCCTGTCAGTTCCAAGTATGGCTGCAGGGGTGTGGAATTTCTTCTGACAGGGGAATGATTGCAATAGCTAGGGATGGAAGCACTCATCTTGTGTTCTGTGTATTTGTGAAGGAACATGTGATCTTTATATGACACTGTAAAAATTTAAGGGAGATCCTGTTCACCACAGGTGTTGTATCAATCCCAGATACAAAATACTGGGGCATTCAATGGATGATGTCACTGCTTTACAAGGTAATGTAAAGTTCCTTAACCTGGCCTGTCCTGAGCTCCTTATCTACAAGATTTGAAAATCACATCACAAATTACTGGTGGGACTGATCATAAATCACAGCCATACCATGGACCCTGGGAACTTCACCTACAAGAACAGTGTTTCTGATTGAAATTAAAAGCCCGTTACCTGTGAACTGGTTACTCAGCTGTCTTGGCTTGAAAGGAGTGTGACAGGATTGGAGATTATTGCTGGAATTTCCTGGTTTGTTCCTGTGTGTTGGGCACTGCAGACCCGGTATGATTAAAAGATCTCAGTCTTAGTCTTACTTAGGATTTCAGATCTGTTCCACACAAATGACTTTACAAGAGATCCTGCATTGAGAAAGCTGTGATTTGCTTTTTTAAAGATGTGACTGTTTGTGTATAGCAGTGTGGCAACATTATTCTGGTGTTTATGTAACTTCAGCAGATAAACCTTCCACCTAGTGAAGTACCTGTGTGTAGTATTGTCCCATTTTTAGATGTGGTTTGGGATAGTTTTATTAATATTTTGAATACTGGCTTTTGGAGTGGAGATTGCTCCACTTTACGTAAAGTACTTCCGTGAACTATCAACTGATTGACAAGTTTATTTAAACTATGCTGGATTTCTTGGCACAGAGTCGCTTGAGCCATCTGGTTCAATTAGTTTAGGGAGCTTGGGAAATTGTTAGTACCTACGTGTATAGTTATCACATCGAAGCTTGCCTTATCAACCTTGCTTTTATCTGATCATAGCGTTTATGCATGCCATCAAGCTAATAGCATACAGTTTGAAATCCTCTTACCTACCAAACACTTAAACTGGTGTTTTTCCCGTCTGTCTGCAAGCGTGTTGTTGAACCTGACTTCCAGAACCCATCGAGAGTGTCTGCAGAGGCACGCTTCTTGATTTCACCCTGCTATAGTTTTTTCCTCTGGCAATACCAGAATTAGTGAATCCTGCTGTTGAGGTTTTTACTGGTGTGATGAAGATCTGGTCTGATAGTATTACTAGAGGGCAATAAGAAATAAAAGCATTCTTTTCACTCTGCTGGGGGGCAGGGAGTCAAAGAAAAGAGAATTGACAAGGTCTTCATGGGGTAAAAAAGCAGAGACTAGCGTTTATGCTGCTTTAATTCTCAAAACAGGTTTTGCTTGCAGCTGGTTTGGGGGTGTGGTCATGCATCTCTTTTGTTAACAAGACTTTAAACAACTAATTCATGTTGCTTAGGAAGCTGATGGATCTATTGCTTAACCCTAGTTGAGACTGTATCCTGACAGAAATTGAGGCACCTATGTTAGCAAGCCCTTTGAGGTCTCAAAGATAGTGTTTTCAGAAGCAAAGGGTTAGATTAGTAGTAAACTGTTTCCCCATATATAGTTATGTGTTCCTTATGGGTATCTCAGTGTAACTGTAATTTAGTAAATTAAGTATTACAGCCGTTACTAGAAACTAAAAAAGCAGTTGACTCCTGAAAATGAGTAACAAAAGTGGAAAGTTGACTCCTTGGTTGCATAGAAGAGTGGCTTTAAACTTTTTGAAAGGATGGTGTCACTCTTTGAATGTTGCTTGCCTTCTGAACAGCGAGCTCTGTGAAGAAGTTGAAGCTTGGAAGTCTGCACAATGTAGAGTAAAAAACAAAACAAAACAACCCATCCCAGAACCCCAAACCACAACAAATCCCAGCCCCAATCTTTTTGGAAAGCAGAGATCCATTCTGTATTTGAGTAAAATGCAAAAAACACCTCAAGTTTCTGTTTTGTTATCTGTAGTAGAAAGTCTGGCTTACACTACCTGACAGTTGTAAGACTGCAGTTTATAAGGTCTTGCCAGCATGGGAGGTGAAAAGAAATAGCATTTAGATCTGAGACACTTCCATTAGCAGACTCTGCTAGCTGCTTGTAGGTGAACTGAAATTGTGTTTGGACAGTTCAGCTATGCAGCTATGGTTGTTGAAAACTGAGGGTGGCGGTTTTTTGTGTTCTGGAAATGTGATTACTGGAACACTTCAAGACAGTTTGTTAGTGAAATGCCAGTTGCGAGTGTGGTGCTGTTTTATCACCTTTGATTTTGCAATCAGTGCCAGATTAAGTAAGCTAATGTCTTATGGCTCTAATAAAAGTGACCTTGGGCAGTTCTGCAACTGCAGAGTGATATGTTGCAAATGACAAAGTTTACTGGTGGGCAGGTTAACTCCTGCTGTCCAGTAACATTGTTAAACAAAAGTTTTCAAGAAAGTAATATGTATATAAGTAGTTACAATATTGTCATTTGAAATAGAGCACAGATACATGGCCCTTGGCTAATGTCTAACAATTTTTTGACTAGAATCTAAAGACTTAAACAATTACAGTAATTATTCTATGTTCAGAATTTGGTAGGATAAGAGAACTTCTTTGTGTGCAAAATTTTGCCTATGATAAATGAAACCCTTCAGCAGCTTTTGAAGGCTCACAGTATAAAACTATAATCTTGTGGAGGCAGTTGCACAGCTTAACCTGTGGACAGTTCTGGAAAGGGCAACTGTGCAACACTTTTTGGTGTTTTCCAAACCAAAGGCTGACTTTCCTCATGCATAGCCCTGCTGTGCTTAGTAAAGAACTTAGTGCTGTTCGGAATGTACAAGGTTTGATAAGGAAGAAATAAATTGTGCCTTTTGTTAACCTCTTCGTGCTTTTTTTTTTTTTTATTAGTGATCATGAAAGGTGTGTGGCTGACAGCATTGCGGACAGAAGGTCAACTCATCCACAGAACAGGTGCTGTATACACAATTGCAGTGAAAAAAATCTATGTAAACTTGATACGTGTCAGTGTTGCCTTCCATGGAGGAAATGAAAAATGTATGCTGGCTGGAAGTAGGGAGAAAGAAAGAAAACCTTGTTAATAAAATTAGGGGTGATGTGAAGCTGGATTCTTTCTGCCACTGTGAAAGGTTCTGCGTAGGATTCTTATGGGTGAAATAAAACTTGATTTATCTTGTGATGGATAGATAGATGTGATACCTGAATCCCTCTGTTGCTGGTACATGGGAGGAGCCCATTGTAAAAGCCTGAAATGACTTAGATTGACTCCTGCTCAGTACTGTGAAGCTGACCAGTCATGTTACCTGCACTGTAGAGTTTTTAATATATTATTCAAAAATTATACATGAGAAAACAAGGTGTGTTGTGCTGCTAAACTTCTGATTTAGTATGCACAGAGTGGCTGAGGCACAGCAGCTGTAGTAACCCTGAGTTTCCTAACAGCTGCAACTTGGCCACGTTGCGGGTATTAAAGCACAAGTCTATTAGTATGCAATAATGCAAAGCCGAGGGCAGTGAATTTCTAATCTAGCCACAAGAGTGGAGAAGGATCTTGAGATGCAAAAGGACTTAAAAGATTGGTTAAGGAGGAATTGCTGTAAGAAAGTGAGACTGAAGTGATTCCAGGGAGCTACTTGCATTTTATTCAAAATGTTAGCCATAGTTGACTGACCTGGAGAGCAAATTAAAAAAATATGGTAACAGAATGCCCTGACAATCTGTATATGCTAGCTGAGGTCTTCTGCAAAATAGATTGATATCTCTTTAAAAATGATGAAGAGAACCCTGCTCGTGCTTCATTGGCTTCTTTGGAACCTTTTTTCTTACAACTTTTATTGCAGATGTTTAAGCTCTACCAATCCTTTCAGTATAGTTCTGTTAAATGGGCAATACTGCAGAAGAGAAAGTGTGAAGTGATGAGAGATTTAAGATCAAAAGGAAAAAAGAAAAGCTTATTAATCTGGTCTGTCTTCTCTCCTAGTCTGGTAGAGAGGCACCAATGAGGACTTCCTGAAATTTTAACCTCCACATTCAGGTTAGTGTGTGCATCATGGCACAGCAAGGAAATGTTGGTGAGCTCCTCTCAATGCTGGATTCTCCAATTCTGGGTGTCCTGGAAGATGTAACAGCTGTGTTCAAAGATAATCTCATCTGTGGTATGTATCCTTTTACGTAATTAGAGGAAGATTTTGCTTTTACACTGAAAAGGGTAGAATAGTGGTTTTTTCCCCATCACAGACAGTCTTTGCAAATGCAACTTTAAATTGCTTTAAGGATTGAGGCTTCTCTTAAGTCCATTTTGCTTAATGGCATGACTCCTGGAAGGTCTGTTATATAATGGTTAAAGTGCTGTTATAAAATGACTAGGTTTTCCTGGGGCATGGCCTCAAGCTGTGAGCTGATGAAACTTTCTTTGTCCAGTATATCTAGAAAGAATTAGGTGTCATCTACATTATGGGAACTAGAGGGATTTTGTTCATTTGAATAACAAACAACAACAACAAAAAAACCCCAAACAAAACAGCAGATCCAGACTTTCTTGAAAAAATGATTTCTGCTATTAAGGCATTCCTTATGTTGATGGAGCCTTTTCAGAGCATGAGAGCACTGTCGGTGTCCTTATCCCTGAACTTGTTCTCCTTTATCTGCTGATGGGAGGGACTGTGAACTTACTCCTGAACTCTTTACATGGGTAAAATACTCTTGCAGTTCAGCTGCCTCTAGGTTTTTAAGGTTAGGCAGTGCCACAGTAATTGTTGGTTATTAAAAAACTTAGTTACTTTCCCTGAGCTGAATGCAATTGTTTGAATGGTTAGGAACTGGAAAATGTAGTTGAGGGGTCTTCTTTTCCTCAAGATCTGGTAATGCTAACTACTGGTTTGTGTTATAAATTGTGTAACAGTTGTTAAAATGTTGTGCAATGTGCCTTTAACAAATGCTTTCTTTTTAGTGTATTGAGAATGTATTTTTTTTTCTTGTTGTAAACAAACTGACAGACCGTGGACCTATGCTTGTGAACAACCTGGTGGACTATTACTTGGAAACCAATTCTCAGCAGGCGCTGCATATACTGTCCACACTGCAAGAGCCTCATGACAAGGTAACAAAATCTTGTTATTAAGTATGGCAGATTTGAGCCTGATACTGAAGCAGCCTTTAAACAGCATCTGTTAGAACTGTTTCTCCATTCTGGTATGGAATTATCTTGTTGTAGAGATGTAGTATCTCTCTAGTAAGAATAGTTAGGTTTTAAAAAAACTTTAAAGGTCTCTGTTTCTTGGCTTGCTTAAACTGATTCAATTAAGCAAAGAACCTCTATAAATAAAAGTTTATAAATAAGAGTATGGCATTACAAATTGTTTTACTTCTGCTGAACAGACTTTTTTAATTATTTATTTATGATAAACGTTTTCAAGTGCAGTGACTGCTTCTGGACTGAGTAGTTTGCATTTCACTACCAGCTGACTTAAATTTATTGCTGGGTTTTATTTGCTCTTGGATCCTGTATATTTGTAAAATGCCCGTAGTTTCCATAATTGGCAATGGTAAACTGCTGAATATAAATTGGTGAAAAAGAGTATATAGCAGTTAAATATAAATAGCTTTCCTTTTTCTACCACTCTCTGCAAAATGCTCTGTCAGCATCTACTGGACAAAATTAATGAATATATGGGCAAAGCTGCTACCCGTTTACCCACTCTCTCCCTGCTGGGACACGTGATAAGACGACAACCATCTTGGAAACATAAGCTTTCTCAAGCACCTCTCCTGCTTTCATTACTTAAATGTCTCAAGGTAAGAGCTGTTAGTGTTGTCCGTAAAACACTTGTACACCTGATGTAAACTTACATACCTGTAATGCAAGGCGTTTGTTTTCTGTTTTGATGACATTTAGTTAAGCTGTGAGAAGAGAGAAAATATTGATTAAAATACTGAGCCACAGTGGAATTGTATCAACTAAATATTCAGTTCTGATCTGTTATTACTGACAATCTTGTTTCTGAAAGCCACTGTGACTGTACAACTTTGAGTTAGGAAAGCTTACTACAACTTTTCTAAAAGTAAGTTAGAGAGGGCCTTTGGTTAAGTTGGTCGATATCTTGTGAACTTAATGAGAAATACATTAACTTCCCATTAGTGTATTCTGAAATCTGTGCATGGAAGGTAATATACTCTACTTGCAGTGTAGGTGGGCCACGCAATACGCTATTCCTTGGTGAAATGACCTTGGAATTAGCAGACTTTCCCTTTTTAGCTACAGATGGGCTGGATTACAGGGAGGTAGCTGTTTCCCCATGCTTGCGGGGTTTTTTCCCATCTGCAAATTTATCAGTTCTCATACTGCACAGTTTTGTAACAGTGAATAAAGAATGGAAGGTGTTTTGAGACCTAGAATATGTTGTCAGTAATATCATTTATGTGATAGTGAAGAATTAGTATTAGTCATTTAAGTCACATTAAAATGCATGATGTAGTCAAGTGCCAGTGCTCTTCAAAGCAAAAACACAACAAATTTGGAACTGCCAAAGAAGAAGCTACAGGTGCTATTACTGGAGCTCCTGACATGCCTGACGAGTTCTGTTACCCTTTTCAATGAGAGGCCTAGCTGATTGTGAGGGGAGTGAAGTGTGTTGGGAGCAGAACAGAGATGTGGAAGTGCTGGGGTTGCATGCAGATGGATAGGGGTGGACATGAAATGTGCTGTGAAAGGTTATGTCTGACTGAGGGAGAAGAGAGGCTGCAGATTACACAGAAGAAGAAAGATCCATAATAGTGAATATATCCAATCAGCCCTTAGAGTTATACGATATCTTGATATCTTGGGAGATACCAAGACCAGCTCAGTGGCATCTGGCCACAGGCTTACCTGTGCTCTCTGCACCCCTGTTCTGACAAAGCAGAGGAACTACCAAGGAAAGTGCACATAAAACTGGGGAAGTACATAGGGACCACACCAGGAAAGTGTTTGAACATGTTCTGTATCCTGTCCTAATATCTGATTCTGTTACTGTTTTAGCTAGCTGAAGATTTTTACTGCCACATCCCTTTCTCTTGGTGTAAGCCATAGGGTTCTAGTTATTGTTTGAGTTACTGCTTTATGAAATATTTAGCAGACAGAGTCATCAGCTGGGTTTAATAGAGAACTTTTGACCCTTGCGTTGATAATTGTCCAACATCCTTGAATATCCTGATTAGATTTGCGGTTTCTTAGGCTCTGAATGTTGTGTGTGCTTAGCTCTGGGACAGAAAGAAGGTGGCATGTAAGATGCTTCACATACCAGTGATTTTTTTTTCTACTTAATTGTGGAACTGTGGTGATGTTCCCTTTTTAAGTAAGTCAAGCCTTTATACAGAAAAGTAGCAGCAGGGTAGGAGCAGGAATCCCAAATATATTTTTTTTTTTAGAGTTGTTCTGGATGAAAGAGGCAGTAACCTTGGTTTGTTAAGATATGGTAGGTTTCAGAGGGACTCTCAAAAGTAGAGAACTTTTTCCATGATGATGATTCCGTGTTCACTTCATCCTTGGAAAAAAATTAAGTTCAGCTCTTCTAACTGACTAATGCAGGTTTTTTCCCTTCTTGCAGACTGACACAGATGTAGTAGTACTCACCACAGGTGTCCTAGTGCTAATAACCATGTTGCCAATGATTCCTCAGTCTGGCAAACAGTACCTTCATGATTTCTTTGGTATCTTTGGGCGTCTCTCAGCCTGGTGCTTGCAGAATCCAGGTGAGATTTCAACTTTGTTGCATGCAGTTATGGTTTAGTCATATCCTTGTGACCCTTATGCAGTTGGTGAGCGCATTCTTTTTTGAGACTCTGAATAGTCTGAGATTATTTAAATACAGAAAATGATGTATTAAGCCACAAGCTATTCTTTTCGTTGATAGCATCGGGGAATGCTGCTTTGCTCAAAATTTAGAAGTCTCTTAGATTCTTCCATGTGGTGCTGCTACTACATGAAGTTTCACTGGACTGAAATTATAGTGAAAAGCAGAGATTGATCTTAATGGCTAGAGAAGGGAAAATGCTAACATTTGAGGCAGATATTTGGGAATTTGAGATTCTCAGGTATGAACGGGGAGGGGGAAGAAGAAGCAACATGTAAGAGTTTCTTTTAATGTGCAACTTATTGATAGTCATGGACATGTTGGTAAAACTAGTCTTCTCAGTTACGGCATTGGTTCTGATGAACTGGTTCTGCTGAATTTGCTATAAGGTGTCTGATATCTAACACTAGTGTTACCTATGTGTGTGCCTCATGGCTGTATGAACAAATGCTATGTTAAGCACATAGAGATGCGATTTAGAGGGCCATTTTGCATTGCAGGTTGGATTGGAATTCATAAGATGCCTAGTAAGACTCAGGTCTGTCGTGATTGCTTTTTGTAGATACAAGCTTTTAGTTTTTACCTTTTGAAGTGAAGCAAACCTTCGTTTTTTTAATCTTTGCAAACTCTGTCTCACTATCTCTACAAGTTTCAGGTTTTACCTTTAATAAAAAATGCTGTGCTTTGAGAGTGACAGGATGCTGGTTGCAATTAATGGTCCATATCTTAATTTTTGGTTTTGCTGTGAGCTGATGATAAAGTGTTGCCTGTTCTCTCAGAAGACTTCAGTTTTTCTTGGGACTATTCATGTCTCAGAAGACTTGTTCCAGTTAACATTTCAAATTTGGAAGTACTTTGGTTGCATTCTTAGAAGTTTTGTTCTTTTCTCCAATGTAATGAAAAAGATTCTAACTACTTTTTCCAGGTCATGTTGCAGAGATTTATCTTGTCCATCTTCATGCCAGCGTTTATGCTCTCTTTCATCGTCTTTATGGAATGTACCCTTGCAATTTTGTCTCCTTTCTGCGTTCTCACTACAGTATGAAGGAAAACTTGGAGACCTTTGAAGAGGTAGTCAAGGTAAAATGCTGCTCATCTCTATATTATCTAAGACAAGGAATTCATACCTGTATAAAGGCAGGTATTTGCCAGTTTAATACGCTACATTGATTTACCTGAGGGATACTCAACAGAATAAAGACTGGCTGGTGGAGGACTGTAATCTCAGTTAGGAGCAAGATCACCTGTTGAAGCTGTAGTGGTGTGTGTTAGCTTTATCTGTTAAAGGCAGCATTCTGAATTATTGGGATCAGGAGGTTGCTCAGCAGGTTTGTGTAGTTTAGTGCGATCAAAAGATGCTGTACCAATAATACATACTTCTTCTTGCTCTTGCTCATCCAGCCAATGATGGAACATGTGCGAATTCATCCAGAATTAGTGACTGGATCTAAGGACCATGAACTGGACCCACGAAGGTATATATGTTCACTCTGCTATTAGGAAGGGCTATAAATGAGCAGGTTTTAGTTGGGTTATTTTGGAAGGCTTGCAGCAAAACCTTTCCTGTCAGCAACAGTGTGTGCCAGTGGTGTTTTGCCACCCATATTCAAAGGTACACCAGGTAAACTTTCTTCATTCAAGCTTACAGCTGGATGAATAAGCAAAAACTGTTGTGAAAGGCCATTAACAACAGTGTTGGGGTTCTAAATTAATTTTGTGTCTGGGATAGAATGTCTTCTGCTTAACAGTTGACTTTGTCTTAATTTTATGACGTAACGATCAAACATCCTCAAAGTTCTGAAAGAATTTGCTTATAGTGAATAATGAATGAGAAACTGCAGTGACCAGCTTCAATGGCTTAAGGTTTGGGTCATATTTTTGTGGTTTATTGAAGTACTTGGTGGGATTTAAGTGTTTAAAATGGCTTCAGTATGTCTTGTTTTGGTACCTAGATATTGGTTCAGTTAACAGATCAATTCTTTTAACAGGTATGTCTTAACATTATCAACTGTATTAGTTTTCTTTAGAAATAGGCTCATTTGCCTGCAGCAGCACCACTTGCTGCTTTTCTCTTGTCTCCACAGGCCCAGCCACTGAAGAGGAGAAATTGACTCTTGCTGCACAGTAGTGCTCTTGCCCCGCTTTTCAGAGCCACTAGGAAAACACTACTAAATGGGAGCCTATTGACTATCACAATGCTCAGTTTTGCAGGCTTCTCCCAGATAGGGGGGAGGGTGATGCCACTAAGGATTACAATTGGCAGAAAACTACCAGTTAGAGCCTTCTGATTTGGGATCTTGCACATAGTATCTTGCATTCAAAAGCAACCTGGCCTCTAACAGGCAGCCTTCTGTGCTTTCTCTTCTTTACAGTGAACTCCCATCCCCTGAAATATTGGGCAGGTCTAATCTGACTGCTTAATTTACTGAGAAAAAGTTTTCAGAATGAATGAGGTGGTAGTAATAAAAAAAATTCCCAAAACTTGGGAGGAAAAACACAGACCTGAAAGTGGCATTGCAGATGGTGTTTGCTTAAATAATATTAGATTTCCTCACTGCTGGCATGTCTAAGTTTTGACTACCAACATCTGAGTCTAGTTGAGCTGATTTCTACAGCTGCTGAAGCTCAGGATCAACCAAGTCTTCGTATGCTGTTCCTCCTTTCCAGAGTGCTCCATGGCAGACCTTTATGGATCTCTGTGTCAAAGCTGTTTGTCTCCTCTCTGAGACCCCCTCTTACAAGTCGTCTGGTTGCAATTGCTGTCTGGTGCCTTGTTCCAGATTTGGCGGGGAGCATGCAAAGCTGTCTGGAACAAATGAGGCATCCTACAAGCCAGTTCCTCGTATCTCCAGGAACTACTTGTTTGTAACAATAATTGACTAACTTACTCTTTTGGATCCAAAAACTGTCTGCAGGTGGAAAAGACTAGAAACTCATGATGTTGTGATAGAATGTGCCAAAATCTCCCTGGACCCTGCAGAAGCCTCGTATGAAGATGGCTATTACTCTGTGTCTCGGAAACTCTGCGCAAGCTTAAAACATCATCAAACTGACCCCAGTGCCAGCTGTTACATTGACACACAGAGCAGCTATGGTAAGACCTGCCTGATGGCTAATGAATACCCAGTTCCTGGAGGAAAACTGGCCCTGTAGCAAAAAGACATCTTACTAATTTATCCCACTTAAAGTCCAATTCTTAAGCACCAGAAAATCATAATTAAAAAAAAAAAAGAAATATGCTCATATATGAGAGAGATAGGAGAGATATGCTCTGGTCATGCAAACATACAGAATGCTGGCAAAGTTGCCTTTCCGCTGCCTTGTCCTCCACACTCCAAAACACTGAACCACCACCAAAAAAAAAAAAAAAAGCTGTAGTATGTAATACATTCAAAAGATGTTTTCCTGGTCTGGAAGAAAACTCTCTTGTTTGCTAGCTATGACTGTGTATGTTGAATGGATTTGAGATGTTTGAGTTAAAAGCCTAAATGCTAGCCAGAAGAATTATTGATTTGTATTTGATGTGTGGGATACTTTTAGTTTTATTTTATTCTTTGTTAACTTTCAGGGACTTCTACCCCGTATTCCACTCCTCGGCTAACACTATCGCAAATGCCAGGGCAGCTACCTCAGATTCTGAGCCCACAGTCAATACGGCTGTCAACTGAGCCACAGCAGGTAAAGCAGAAGATAAAGCGCAGCACGCTTTTAATTCTTTGTTCATTGTTTCTCATGACAGTCTAAAAAATTAATGTTTCTGAGAAGTACTGTGAATCCTTCCGGACTTAGTGTACACGTGAGATTTAATACCCATCTGATTTCCTGTGTCAGAACCTGTTGGCTTGTTCCTTTTTTGAGCTTCACTGATTTGTGTTTTTGTATTCCTTTTCCATAGGTTACGATCTGGAGTCCTTCTGCAGTTTGTGGTATGACCACTCCACCAACCTCCCCTGGAATTGTCCCATCAGAGTCATCCCAGTCTGCATCACAACCTTACAGCAAGGCTTTTGGCACATCTGGTACGTGCTGAATTTTGGAATTAGGCTTTCAAGGTTTATTATAATAGAAATTATGGCTGTAAATTTTGCTGTCAGCATCTGAAATGGGAATGCCACACCATGTCATTTGAGAGGCTTAAGTCATCACTTATATGAACTGAGTACCTGGTCATCTAGAGCAGTGCTAATGCAAATACTGAGACAGGAAATAAGCTACAGGGAATTAAGTGCCAAAGTCTGAAGCAGGCCTTTTGGAAATGGCACATTTATCTTGATAAATAGTTGAAAGAGATTTAAGAAGTAAATGGTTGAGATAGTGTTTAAACATACAGTTCTTCACATACATTATTCAGCTGAAAGGAGGAAGTGGGAGGCTGCTGAGAAAACTTTCGCTCCTCCTTTTCAGCAGGGGGGAAAGGAACACCTTTGGGAACACCAGCCACATCTCCTCCACCCTGCACTTCAGATGAGTTTGTGCATGTTTCACTCCCTTCAGCTGCTGCCACGCCTCCTAAAAAGGTATAACAAAATTCTTCTGACAAACAAATCTGATTCTTTTTTCATTGACTTGCCATACCCGCTGTGACCATAACTGAGAAAGAAACATTAGAATAACTGGTTTACAAAAAATGTTGCATTTTGTCCTGAAAACTCGTTTTCTTCCAAGTTCAGACAACTACTGCCACTTCCAGTTGCACAGTTTTAAGACTTCTTATATTGGTTTGCTATTCAAGCCATCTATTTGCAGGAATTTCCTTTCTATGAAACTGTCCAAGAGGTTTGTTTCCAACAGATGTCTGATGCAAAGAATCTATTTTGGGTTTTGTTTTGGTTTTTTTTTCAGGAGGACAAACCAGATTCTGGGAGGCCTTTACTGTACCGACAGCAAAATGTCCTAAACAGCGATAAATCATTGGGTAAACTCCATTTTCCTCTCCCCATTACAATAACCTATTGTAAAGAAATCCTGTTTTTATTGACATGTTCCAATTGCCAAACACTTTTCCACAGGTTTTTCTCTTTCTTTTTTTCCCCCCTAAGTTCTTTGTAGTTCCAGGATCCTGCCTTCACCTGTGATTCAACTTAAAACCTTCCTGTGGTGCTTTTGTTTTCATTTTAACTATTCACCTTCAGAAATAGCTTGCAGAATTTTTTTTAACTGGCCCTCATGCATTCTTATGCATGTTTAAATATACAGATCTACACTGAATGCTGAAAAAGGCTATATTTTTTTTTTTTTGAAGCTGATTCTTTGAGGGTGAATTTGTTTTATCAGAAGCAGCAAGTTGTATATGAAGTCTTACTTGAACAAATTTTATTTCAAATGTCTGGATCAAACTGTAAGGCTGCACATAAAGATAGATATGATGTTCCCTTTTAAAGGCTCTTGGAAAAACTTTGTTTTCTGTCTACAATTATATTGCTGTACTTGAACCTTTTTTTAAAGTTCTGTGGAATATTGAGATCAACAGTGGATGGTTGAGAAACTCACCTTCTGCTAGGTAAATCCAGATTCCATTTTCTCTGTCATCTACGTCTGTGACAGCTGTAGAACGGGATTTCAGCACTGTATGTGAGGCTTCTGTACTGTGAATCTTTACCATCCTCAAAGTGGAGATGATAGTGAAATTAAAAGCTGTTTTTTCTTTGTGAAGTTGTGTAGCAACACTGGAATCTGAACTTTGAATTACAAATAAAGAACAGGCTAAGTTTTTTCCTAATCTGTGACTGAGCTGTGAGCATGAGGTTTCTATCCTGCATGCTTCGTGTGTATCTCCCTGGCAACTGTCTCAGCGTTTTGATCTGTAGTCACATATTGTCAAGTTTGTATTACATCAGTTGGCTAAAATTCCTTTTTTTTCAGGTAAGTACTGTGTCCTTGTGTAGTTAGATCAGAAGCTAAAGGGGAGTTTAATGTTAATGTGGAAGTATAGTCATCTCTCTACACTTAAGACACTTTTTTATTTATTTAATAGATCAAGTTGCCAACAGCACATCCTTATTCATCGAGGCAGTCGCCTACGCTTGTGCAATAGCAAACGTTAAGTTTACAAAATTACATTTTGGGATCAGGACCAACCAGTGACTGATCTCTGAACTGGTTTCCACATGGAATGGAACAGGAGTCAGATAGGTTCCTCCTTTGAGGAAGCATCTGAAGGAGGGACAAGCTTATTTTAAGGCCCTTTCGATAGTAAAACATTTCTGGCTTGTGCTGTGATAAGGCTGGAGAAAACACCATCTGTACTACTAACTTTTCTTTTTTCTTTTCTTTTTCTTTTCTGCAGACACACCCGGTAGTAAAAGTTCAGTAACCTTAAGTGATCTTCCAGAGTTTTTAGGTGGTTTGTCTTTTGAAGATAGTGCTGAAAAGGACAGAGAAGAAGGTAATTTCTGTTATCCTTACATACATCTTAGCGAGGGAAATGTTTGTAATGTTGAAATACAAGGTAAGTAATTATGCTTCCTCCTCCTGTCCTTCTCAGATGCGATATCTAAAGAGATCTCCGAGATCACAAACGATGCTGAACACATGGTGCCTAGAGGAGGATTTGACTCTCCATTTTACCGCACAAATGAAAGTCTGTCAAGCTCTCAAAAGAAGACCCATTCAGTAGTCTCTAGTGTTCAGGGACACAGTCAGACCTGTGAACCTTTAACAACTTCTCTGGACAAGCCTGGGCCTGACAATGCACAGGAAACGCCCAAACAAACATTTACTCCCATAGACAAGCCTTGGGTAGGCTCTGGTGAAAGCCCTGCTGGTAACAGGGAAGGAACGTCTGGAGGGACGAGTATTCTCACTCCCAGCCCTTGCAAAGTACCAGCACAAAGAAGAGTGGTGTTTGAGAGCGGGCAGCCTCCCCTGTATGAGCACCTTTTTGAGGTTGCGTTACCAAAGACTGCCTACCTCTTTGTTGGCAAGAAGACTGAGGAGCTGCTAAAGAAAGCCAAGGGAACCCAGGATGATGACTGCATGTCCTCTACGTCTCCCGTGGAAGTACTGGACAGACTGATACAACAAGGAGCAGATGCACACACTAAGGAGCTGAACAAGTAGGTGACGGAAGATCTTTGCAAACTTTCTTGTTATTCCTTTTGTACTGGCTTTATTTTAATAGCTGTGCCTGAAAAGCAGGTGTGTCTGGAAATCTACAATGAAACAGTGTTCTGTGGAACATTACTGTTAACTGAGCTGGGGGTTCTGGGTGGAGGATTTTTATATTTGCCGTGGTAACTAGTTTGCTTTAGTATAAAAAACAGGGCTGTGACCATAGGACTCTCAGTGCCTTCACTGACAGAGCTGGGGATGAAGGAGGGCTGTTGGCTGTGCAGCAAGTGTGGTTTTGGTAGCACTGCTAGAGAGATTTGTTCACTTTATCAGGTTTAAGACCCACAGTAGATAGTCAAAAGCTACTGTAAAGGCCAAGGCGAGATTGATATGTTCTTCTTTCTAATATATATGAAGCTAAGAACTGGAGAACCAGAGTGAAGATTTAGGTGTATCTGCTGTATTCCTCCTTTTCATCTTACTACCTTGTATTCCACTTCGTCCTTATGCTGTTTTCTGTGCTTGAGATAATTTTCTTCTGACTTCCAAAACATTGCCTTCCATCATCTGCCCTTGCAACCTGCTGCTTGCACAGTTCCTCCTTATTCTCTTCATACCATCTGACTGTAATTGTACTTTTATTAGGCTATAAGCTTTTGAGGTGGGCATTCCATTTTAAAGTGACATGCAGAGTATTTGCATATTTAAAATTACTATTTAATGCTGCATTTTCATTTTTCAGATTGTCTCTGCCAAGCAAATCTGCTGACTGGACTCATTTTGGAGGTAAGAAAGTTTCTCATGTGTTTTGGCCATCTGTTCCTCTGTTATTAGACTTGCTTAAGCAATGACCTGCATACTTTTTCTGCTGCATTAGTTAAAAAAAACAAAACAAAAAAAACCCAAAAAAACCATGGTGTCCTTCATTAAGTTATGGTTTATCTCCTAAGCAAATAGACATCTGTGTTCCAGTGAGGTTTTTTTCCTCTTTGAAAAGTGAAAGCTGCCTTCCGCACAGTCCTAGACATTTCTACTTTTGACCATTTAAGATCTGCTAGCCTTCAGAGTGTTGCTGGTCATCTAACTGTTGCTTATTTTTCTTGCTGCTTCACATGTGTGTCATAGTTTTGTGCTCTTAAGCTTCATGGTGATGGTGAGCTTGGCTTTTTTTCTTAACAGAAGCAGTAATCCATTTGAAGCACATACATGTTGCTCTGGAAAAAATGTTTAAAATTTTACGTTTGTGTTGGAGATCAAATGGAACAGACGGATTTTTAAGTTGTTATTTCAAAGAAATCTAACTTCCTGATTTTAGAAAATATTTCCTGTATGTGGAACAGGGACAGTACGGTTCAGTAACCTTGTGTCTTCTAACACCAATCCAGGTTCTCCCCCTTCGGATGAGATTCACACCCTGCGTAACCAATTGCTTTTGCTGCACAACCAGTTACTGTATGAACGCTTCAAAAGACAGCAACATGCCCTTAGGAACCGCCGTCTTTTGCGAAAAGTGATTAAAGCAACAGCACTGGAGGAACATAACGCTGCCATGGTGAGCAAAGATACAGCTTTAGCAGTCATTTAAACACACTAGAACCAGTATTAATTAGTTTGGCCAGTATCTTTCAGTACCACTCAAAAAAGAAGCCTTGTGTCTCACCTTTTTTAAGTGAGTGTTTGTGGAATGACTTGATGGACGAGTTATGTGCACCATGGTTATTAAAACCAGCAGTTTCTGTTTGACTGTAGGCAACTGAATCAATGGATGCCTGCGTGCTTGACCCCTGCCAGCACTTACCTTTGGATAATATTAAAGGCTTCACAGATAGTGGAGTGGTTACCTAATGCCTGGCTAGACACCTAATAACAATATTTGGAGAAGCATTGTCCTTTTTTCCACTCTTCAGTTGAGGAGTAATAGCAAAAACTTTGAAACCTCAAATATTATTTTTCAGAGTTATATGATAAAGCATGATAAAATCTGAAGTTTTAAGTGCATTGCAGGATGTCTCATTACAGATCTGGGCATGTTTTAGTCTGTATTTACCTATTACAGCTACTTCCATCTACAGTTTCATCTTTTGATAACTCAGTAGAAGAGTCAAAAATAGCTTTCCAGATAGGCTGCAGGAAACAAACTGTAGCTTCAGCTGTGAAATGCAAGTCCCCATCAAAAGCATGAGGTGTAGGGGGAGAATCTGCTGTTGCTCATTGTGCTTCAGATGTGAGTTTGAGTTTTCAGCCTGTCCACTCTATCACCAGTCTCTTTTTCAGCCAAAAACCAAACCAAACCTCAAAAGCCTTAAAAACATGCTCTATATAGAGTGTTCTATCTGTGGAAAAGTGTTACACCTGCATGCTACTGATTGATAACTTTACTTAGCTAGGGACTTAGGACAGATGTTCTAACCGATACAGCAGGTGTCTTGTCTGATGCTTCATGTGGCGTTCTTAACAGAAAGATCAGCTGAAACTACAGGAAAAAGAAATCCAGGCCTTGAAACTGAGTTTGCAGAAAGAACAGGCAAGGTACCACCAGTTTCAGGAGGAACATGAAAATATAGTGGCTCAGCTTCACAGCCAGATCAGACAGCTGCAACACGACCGGGAGGAATTCTACAACCAGAGCCAGGAATTGCAAGTATGAAGCACTGCACTGAACAAAATTGTTATCTACTTACTGGTTTTAAAAATAACTTTCCTAATAACATGGCATGAAATATCTGAGAAAGTTACATATCTCTGTTAGAGATATTGTCCTAATTCAGCATAGGACAGTGCATAATTGGACATGCCTAACTTAGAATTATAAAAGGATGATGACTGTCCTGTCTTCAGTTTGGAAACAGGGAAATGCAGTTTCTTTGCTGTTTTGGGGACTTTCACAACTACTCAGTGTAACTTGATTTGCAGTGGTGGGGGTTATGGCCTTCTAGACATATGCCATTGATAGTCCTCATTAAAGTTTCAGAATCCTGAGTGAAGTTTGTTTTTTTTTTTTTTAATTTGAACAGACCAAGCTGGAAGACTGCCGGAATATGATTACAGATCTGAGGTTAGAATTAAAGAAGGCTAACAACAAGGTGTGTCACACTGAATTGCTTCTTAGCCAGGTTTCTCAAAAGGTAAGAGAAGTCACTGTTCCCAGGGTTCCTTTGTGTCTTTGCATTTATTTTTTTCTGATCATTCTTACTAGGTGCTTTTTCTTTCTCATTCTAAAAGAAGTCTGTGCCTAGTTCCCTGGAATCTGATATTAATTGCACAAAAACAGCACAGAGAAATATATTTTGTTGAAGAAACTTAAAACTCAGTTCAAAGGCTTTTGAAACTTCTCATTTTGGCTGGTTTTTCCACAGTAGGAATTTGCAGATTGAGTACTATGAACTTGTATTAAAGCTCTGCTAAATCTTGGCATCTTAGAGATCTTGTTTGTGTCAGAAATTGAATGGACTTCTCATAAGTGGAAACATAGTTATATTAAGGGAAGCAGTAGCTACATGGTGATGTTCTGTATGGAGTGTCACCAGCTTTATGAAGGCTAATTTATTTAACACTTATTACCTATGATGCCTTAGATTCTTTTCTTTGTCTCTCTTAATAAAAATACCGTGTGAACACAGCACCTATCAGCTGTGACTTTCCTGCGGAACTATCCATTCCAACATTTGATTCTGTTCAATTTCTCTTTAAAGCTTTCCAACAGTGAATCAGTGCAACAGCAGATGGAGTTCTTGAACAGGCAACTTCTGGTTCTTGGAGAGGTCAATGAGTTGTACCTGGAGCAGCTGCAGCACAAGCACACAGACACTACAAAGGTACGATTACAGGGTTGCAGACAAGGCCTTTTGGGAAGGTATCACTTGAGGCCATCATCAGGCTGTTCTCAGCCTGGTGTTCAGAATAAAGGAAATGCTTCATAACAGGTCCTTTGTTTGAAGTTGATTTTCAGGGATTGGATTTAATATTTCATTTTCTGCTTGGGTTTTTTTGTGCATTGTGTCATTATGGAATCTCTTCAGTGCCCTGTGCTTGAAAGCTAAGAAGGGGATGTTAGGGTACACCTGAAGTCAGTTTTAGCCACTTGATGTAAATTCTAAGGCAATTTTTTCTTGCCAAAGGTCAAGACTTTACTGTGCTCTTAATGTAATTGGCAGCAGACTATTGCTGGTAAAGTAACATTGGGCTCTTATATTGGTGGAAGTGTATAATGTAGGTTACTATTGCTAGTATTTGTAGGAAAAAACCCTTAACTGGGGTTTTACTGGGTTTTGTGATGTGGTGTTCTAGAACAAGCAATCTTACTCTTCTCACTCAGTCATTTTCCTGTTAAGAGTTAATACTAACTTTACCAAAACTACTGTGGTTCATATGGTTTTACTTCCTGACTTCAAAGAAACCTTTTTTTAATTAGAAGCAAGTAAATTACACAACAATATAACTGTTTCTGCGTGGGAGCAAGTAATTAAAGAAGGTGAATAACAAGGAAAAAAAACCAACCCTTTTACTGGTATTTAATGAAGGTCATGTTGCAAAAACAGTTTTAAAATTAAGTTTTTCTGTCCTAATCAGGTGCAGAACTGACAAGTTTGCTTTGCTAAAAAGAGCTTTTCATAAGGAACATCAATGTGCTAATAAATTCCAGTGATGCATAGATATTTTCACAGTAATATAATAGTGTACATCTTCAGAGTATCCAGTTTTCTATATCTGTTTTTAGAAACGCTTCTTTTATTCCATCCTGCTTAAAAATGTGACTATTTATAGCATCAGAAACATGTCTAAATATTAATAAAAATAGCACACAAATTATACTTTAACATTTGTGTTTTTTCCTTCAAGGAGGTTGAAATGTTGCAAGCTGCTTTTCGGAAAGAACTGGAGAAAGCAAAGTCGTGTGTTCTACAGCAAAGCCAAAGGCTTGATGCTTCCCAGAAACGGATAGCTGAACTGGAATCTCAGCTTGCTAAAAAGGACCACCTCTTCCTGGAGCAAAAGAAATACCTGGAAGATGTCAAAATCCAAGCAAGGTAGGAGCTTCCTAGGCAAAATTTTAGCCATGCATTGACAGGTGCACTGTCATAGTTGTGGCAGAATCCAGAGACACTGAACTTGATGGGTTTGGGTTTCTTTTTCTGTTTAGAGGTCAGCTGCAAGCAGTAGAAAGTAGGTACAAGGCCCAGAAAAGAATCACACAGGCATTTGAGCTGGAAATCTTGGATTTATTTGGCCGGCTGGAGAAGAGCAGCCTACTGAAAAAACTTCAAGATGAAAAAACAGAAGCAGCTGAAGCAGCAGAAGAAAGGTAAGAGTGGTGATGTGAAATATGCTGGATTCATGACCAGCTCCTTGGAAGCTGATACCTTTGTGGAATTTCTAGCACTTGGACGCACCATCTCAAAATATTTCTGTTACTCCTCTTTTTACAGACTGAATCTATTTCAGGGCTGCCCAGGTCATTGAGAGTCATTGTCAAAACTGGAAGTGCTTATGAAGTACTTTTCAGATAACTGAACCATTACTCAAAGTTTGAGAGAAACCTCTGATTTGGCTCGTAGGCTGGTCTCTTTAATCTACAAATTGTTACACCATTGTTAAGTAGTTGTTTTACATATGTCTGCCTAAAGCTTCTAGTTAGTGCTGTACTTTCCTCTAGATCATACCTTTTTTTTTTTACACCAAATTCTGCTACAGCGTCAGGATAATTTCTTACACTGCCAGCAGATTTGTGGCCATCACCTGTGCTTGGGTTAGGTAAAGGAGGGATCTACGATCCAAGGAAGATGTACAGATATCTTACAGATGTTAACAGATCAGGATCCAGTTCCGTTCTGAGATTATTGTCGGCTTTGGACTTAAAACACTGGATGTTGCAATGATGAGTGTGTGATACTTACCTTTCTGGTTACCCTCTGTCACCTCTGCTTTGCTACAAAATGGTGACAGGAAAGCTGTTGGAAGTATATAGGCAGTAGCAGAAATGGAAAGTAATCAAAGTAACCTGCCTTCCCCAGCATTTCCCCTTCTTGTGAACAGTTGCTTCAGGTTCCTTGACACTGTATCCTCTCTCTTCTCAAAACAGGCTGGATTGTGGTAATGAAGATACTGTGGCAGGACGCAGCGAGGAAATGATTGGTAGAAATGGAGAGACCAAACCTCCCAGCACTCGAGGTAGTAGTAGCAGTAAGGGTGGCAGCAGCAGTGAGCTCTCCACCCCAGAAAAACCCCAGAACCAGAGATTCAGCAGTCGCTGGGAGAAATCCATGTTGCAGGAGCCCTCGAGTACTGTCCCCCTGACTGTAGGTTCACTCCCCAGCTCCAAGAGCTTCCTTGGAATGAAGGCACGAGAATTATTTCGCAACAAAAGTGAGAGCCAGTGTGATGAGGAGGGTGTAACCATCAACAGGCTTTCTGATGCTCTAAAGACTGAACTATGTAAAGATCCAAACATGGAGACAAAGGCCCCTTCAAGCCCCGATAACCTTAGTCTCTCGCCTAAGATCCAGGAAAGCAGTGTTGGACAGCTTCATATCATGGACTACAATGAAACTCATCATGACCACAGTTAAAAAAGAAGATAGTCAATCAGTGTTATTTTCATATTCTTGGCATAGAACAGGAGGCGTGAATGCAAGTTTAACTAAAAGCTTTTCTGTTTCTTTGGTCTGAGCAGCTAGCTCATGCAGCGGAATAGGTTTTCTGTCCAGAAACAGAAGAAGGCTGCTGAACGAATGCAAAGTGGATTTTTGGGTCTGGAGTTGAAATGCCCAGCCTAACTCTTGCTTCTTTCTCAAATTCAGTCCTTAGCAGCGTGTACTAATCTGAAGGGACAAACGTTAGCATTTACAAGTATTTTTTTCCCTTTCTCCCCTTCCCCAGTGAGTGGCTGCATTTATGAACTTGAGTGCAATACGAGGCCAAATTAACATTCATGAGTCTACTATGAATGCTTTGTATTTCCTTGCAAGCTTCCAATTTAGAGCAGTTAATTGTGCTGCCTGTCCGGGTGACTTTGGTTGCTTTCATCCTGGAAAGAAGCAGCACTAGAATTTCTGGTGCATTCATCTAAAGGTCTCTGTTTTGCCTGTCCACTGTCCCACATCCCTCAGAGCCCAGTCTTCGTTAAGTTGGACTCTGATTGAATACCTAAATGTTTAAAGAACAGTGTACCTCTGCAAAACGATTAATTCACCCCAATTCATGATCATTGTTTATATTGTCCTTAACATTTCCTGGCAAGTTACCTTTGAACAGACACTTAATAAGGAACTGGAGCTCACAATGCAGAAGAGATCGTATTTGCTGAAGACTTGTCAAAACACTAGCTTCTGATCTTTTGGTATTTTAAGTGTTTGCCTGACAGACTGGTACTGACCTCAGACTGGTTCGTATGGGAAAGCAGTTGGGGTGGGAGAAGAGGGAAAAGGAAGCTTTACTCGAGCAGGGAGAGCGTGCAGAACGTCTATGTAGAATTGGAAGCTTATGAAGATTTGCAGAAGAGCATTTGTTTCTCTAATCAGGGAAATACTTCTGCTGCCTGACCCTCCTTCATAGTTCTGGTCTTTGTTTCCAGTCTGAGCAAGACCACTGTGTTTTGAGTCCAAAGAAATTGGCATAATTCTTCCTGGCGATATTTTTTCAAGCTTGACTTACAGAATATGGTTTCCTTTTAGTGCTATTCTGCTCAGACTGCAGCACATTTTTCAGCTCAGCAATGTCAGTTTGGCTCTAGGTATCTCCCCTTCGCCCTCGTCCTGTTTCCTTAGAAGACAAGGCTGAAGAGGAAGCCTGCTCAAACCGAGAATCAATTCTGTCGTGAAGCCCTTCGGCGTTAATCATGTTTTAAGTCAACAGTGAGCCTTCTGTGAAGGAGGATTGTGGGATCAGGGCTTGTCAGTGGTCAGACTCAATCTCCTTCGTGACAGAACAGAGCCCGCTCTTAGGAAGGCAGTGTGCTTGTTTTAAATGTTAGATATGTCTGGCTCCAGGCGTACTTAGACATATCAGGCTTCACAGTTACCCTGCATCACACGTGGCCTCTTTTCATAAACATTCTGTGGGTGGCAGCTGCTGTTTAAGAATCTTCTCACATATAAATCAAGTCCAAGTACACTTCCACTTGTAGTTCAAATCCCATCTTAACCTGAACAGGACTCTGTCAAAGCAGCTGGCAGTATGCTAAGTTGCACTTGACAGTACTTTTCCTCCCATTTCCGCTTCTTCCGTACCACCTAGGGTCTAAATACATTTCTGCCTGTCTAAACTATTCTCAGTCTCCTTTCGGTTGGTCAGTCCTAACTCTGAAAGTAAAGGTGAACTTCAGTGGTGTTGTCAAAGCTTGAATCTGCATGGAATAGAAAATAGAGAGTTGGTTGTAAGTGACAGACTGGTTTTGTCGACATGTCTATAGGCTTTCTAAGACTTAGTGGTAGCAAACGTGGTAGCGTGTGTTTCGGTAAGATTTGGAGGTTTCCTGCCCCTTGCCCCACCGGGTCCCAGCCCCAGGAGTGAACGGTTTGCACGTTGCCCTTGAAGGGCTGGCTCAGCAGTTGGATGTCATTGTGTTGGAGGAGTTCATTAGCCCATCCTTCTGCTTTGCCGAGCCCAAAAAGGTATCTTGCTTATGTGATAACCTCAGTTGTTCTGAGGAGAGGCGGTTTTTGTTGTCTGTTACAAAAATGCCCTGGCGGTAATGCAAAGCTCATTGCTAAGGTGGCTTTTTTCTTCTTTTAAAAAGGATTTTAGCACCAGGATAGTAATGGAAACCACTTTAGGTTTGTTTATGGACCACAAAGATTATGGAGGAACAAATTTTGCAGTTTTTTTGTAAGTCTAAAAATCATGGATCTGCTGTATGTAGTTAACTTGCAGTTTGTTTGAAGGGGTCCCATCAGTGAAGTGGAAACAGATTTTTTTTTTTTAACTGACTGCTTTTAGTTAAATCTAAAATTGCTGTCTTTGTCAAGTTAATCTGTTCCCTGCCTCGCTCTTTGTAAGCATGTTAAACAATCCACATTAAATGCCATAAATATGAAATACGAGGAAATGGTACAATCGTAAGCTAAAGAGAACTTCAACCAAAAGGAGGTTTTGCTGTCCTTATTAGAATGTTCTAAAATGTCAAGGCAGTTGCTTGTGTTTAACTGTGAACAAATAAAATGTATTGTTTTGCACTACTCTGTGTTAAATTCCCTGCAAGCCGACCTCTTTAGGACCAAGCTGTGCTGAGACAAAACATGCAGAAACAAGTTCAGTATTGACGCATCTTCCAAGATTGGTGTAGTACAGAGGAGGTAAGTGGTTCTGCCCCTTTTTGCATGAGGTTTTTTGTTAGAAGCTCGTTTTGCTACTGGAGCCAAAGCCTTTTTTATTCTGTGACAAACTCAATGATGACATACTGGTATAATCCATAAATTAACTGCAAATCTGCACGTTAGCTTTCTGTATGGCGTTCATGTAGTCTAGAGACTACACAGTGATTAGACAAATTAATAGCTGAAAATGTCAGACTGTTGTTTGCAAAGCTGGGGATGCTGTCAGAAGCTGTCTGGCTCGCTCTGTCCCTCTCTGCATCCCTTTAGGAATTTTTCTTCCCGTGGTGTTTCCCAAAGGCAGCCGCTGGAGGCCCCACAAAGCCCATCACTTTGCTCTGCATTGCTTTCAGTGACATTTTTGGGATGCTGAGTTTCCCCTCTCCCTTGCCTTCCCCCACTTGTTCCCTGCAGATCCCACCACCATCCCCAACACCTGATCTGCGCTTCCTGGGGTCGGAGCTATGCCCCATCCTCTCGGTGTGTGAGACACTGGAACCAGATGTTTAACGTACAGAATATTTTGGGTTGGTTACAGGCTGACAAAAGCCTGGTTTGACCCTCAGCTGAACCAAGAGGTACATTACAGCCTACAGATGCCAGGATTCTGCTGAGATTGTCTGCTACCAGCCTGTATCCCTATTCCAGTCTTTGAACAAAAAAGCAGCATTTATTTCCTGGACTGACTGTCAGATCTCTGGGTAAGTCAGTTTGGTGCCCTCCTTGGTTTCTCAGTGTGTATCTTGCAGTTTTCTGCTCACAGAGGCTAAAGTAAAACTTTATTGAAGTTCTGTGTTTGGCATTTACATCCTGTTTATGTAAATTCTTCAAACAGCTTGATTTGTAGTAGAGAAAAACAATTCTTGCTGTATCTTTTTGTCTTTTGAAGTGTCCATCCACCCTGAAAGAGAAGAACTTGTATGGAAATTAAGTAATTTGTCTAGATGTTTTTGTGAGACTTCACTTTGCAGTCTTCCAACAGATTCTGGTCATGTCATTACCAAACCTCAGACTGCAAGTTTTATGCACTCATTTTTCTGCTTGTGTCTTAAAATTTTGGCTCCATAAGGCTGATTGAAAAGATAGGGCTAAGCTAGAAATTATTCCTAAGGTTTGGGAATCGTTTCTTGCACATATTGCAACCTCTGTCAAGTACAACTGGACAACTGCCCTGGCATTTTGAACAGCAGGGCTGGGGGGTGGCAGACGGGGTTTGACAGGACTGTTCGGACAAGCAATTTGTGCTGTGCTGTACCATGGAAACTGAACTACAAAACTGGAGGATAATTTTGGTCTTATCAGAGCCTGCGTGTTCAAATTTAAACTATACGACAGGGTGAGGAAGGTTGAAAACAAGATTTGGGAATAGCGTCCCTTGTGTCCCCAGCACTTGTCATCTTGTCCATATAGCGTGTACTTGTTCTGAAAAACTTTCCAAGACAGCAGCTGTCATCGGACACTTGTCTTTGCAACATGAAACACAACAGGGCAGCTGGGAGCACCTCTGATTTTGCTGCCTGAAGCTGCCTCTGCAACAGGACTCTCGAGTAAAGCCTGAGAGGGTAACGGTCACATTCAGCTGGCCGTGGCCCCAGCGGTCTTTGTGACCCTGGCGAGCTTTGTTACCATTTTGAGTTCACCAAGGTTCAATTCACTCGGATCATGATGCCTTCTAAAAACAGCCTTCCACATCAGCGTGGGTAGATGTATTTTATAGCAGCACTTGTGGAGAGGGGAAGGGAAAAAACCACAAAAGAAGGTGGGGTTATGTGAGGAACACAAATGCTCCTGAAAATACTTCCCATGTCACCTGAGCTATCATTCCTTCCTGTGCTCCCCCCTCTGTATTAACTCTCCCTTCTTTTTTGGCTGCTTGTTGCCAAAATCTGGTCATCTTAAGGCAAAAGCTTTCTCACAATTTTAGCAAACTGAGCCAGGTATGCAAGGGGAAATCGTTTATTCAGGAGTGTCTTCCAGCAGGAAGCAAAGAACAGGAGCTACTTTGCCTGTGGGAGGGGAAAAGAACAGTCAGATACAGGGAAGACACCGCGTTACTGAGATCTTAAGTTTGTAGTTACATTGCTTGAATAAAAGCACCACTAAAAACGCTTATCAGCTCCAGAGAACAGGAGAGCCTGGGACTCTGCTGGTCCTCCCTGAGCAGCCTGGCAAGAGAGCAGTTTTCAGCACCAGTACCAAGTCACCATGCTGGGATTGCAAAGTGCTGGTGTACGAGCAGCATGAGACCATTTCAACTGCCTTGCGGTTTTCACGAACCAAGGCTCATAACATCCCTGAAAGCTAGGCAAGCTGGACTCCGGCCTTGAAAAAGGGAAGGCACAGACTTTTAACTTGCAATTTGCACAGGAACCATGTGAAAATGGCCACAGCTTTCTCAGTCTCTCTGCTCCCACCGGATTCCTGTGAATCATGTCGAGTGGAAATGACTTTGTTAGTTTTGCAGAGCTCTGGGGAGGACAGGGGTGTTTTATTCAAGTTTGATATTGTCATTACACCAAGCTCAGTGTGAAATGAAGTTTGTCCTCCTTTATATCTCTACCTCAGACAGCAAAGGAGTCAAGTGGGTGCAAGAGAAGATGTTCTGAGTGGTGTGCACTGGCAACAGCGTGAGAGCCTTCAGGAAGGCTGCAGGGAGCACAGTCGGTGCAGCTAAAGGGCGCTGACCTTTCCTGTAGCCAGTGGCATGGAAGGGAGACATCATTAGTGTCCTGTAGACTCTGATTCTTTGGTCCAGATAACCAGGAAATTTCCATGGGGGTGAGGGAACTTTAGGGACAAGTCTAAATCTCGAGCAAACATCTGAATCCATAATGAGAGGCCTTTGCTGTGCTGCACCATGTCCTTCAGACATGCTGGTTCTTCACACCTCTGGCTTTGGTGAGTGAGTGGGTGTTCCTCAGAAGTCCGAGAAAGTGTGAAAACCCATTTCAAGTAGCTTGCCCAAGATTTGTATCTGAGAGATTAGAACCTGATTGCTCCTGCCTGTTCCCTTCTCTCACACAGGGCTGGTCAGTGGGTCCAGCTGTGGTGCTGCAGCTGCTTCTCTTGGGGTATGACTTTGAGGAGAGTGGAAACATCAGCAAGGGAGAGAAGTATCTGTCCAAGGCTGGCTTACAGGGCTAACTCTTCGGGAAGTGGACTCGGATAGGAAGGATGTCTAGGATTCATTTCACTGGCTTTAATCAGCCACCTGATTAAAGGTGGTAAGCAGAAGCAGCATGAACTTTGATCCTTTAAAAGGCATGTCTGCCTGGTGGTTTCCAGGGACCCTTAAGTATCCCACTGGGATTTTCTGTGTCATTCAGGTGCTTCTTCCGGCCACGCTTACTCCCCTGCACTCGTATATTATCTTTGTCACTAGCTGAGCTCTGAACTCCAAGGTGCACAGCAGGTGCTGTTTGGGCAACGGCTGCCCTAGCTGGGGCACCCTGGGCTGCCCTTTTCTCAGAGACAGCACTTCCACCACTCACGTGCTGTGACAGCTTCTCCGTCTGGGTTACCCACTCCTTCATGCAGTCTAGAACGATGGGGATGAGGCTCACCACCCCTCCAAAATGATTCTTTGCTTCGTCGCAGCTCAGGTGATTCACAACGTCATGGGGGTATCTGTGGGACACAAGGAAACAACGGGCAGAGCCGTTCCAGCGATGGGACCCTGGTGACCCCCAGTGCCCCCCTCGGACTGTCTGGGAAGAGCAGAAATGCCCGGCCAGCCATCTCCCCAGAACAAAAAGGCACAGATAGAATTACAGCTTGAGAAATGAGTTGTGCCAAACACACCATCCGGCTATTGGGCTCGATCTGGAAGAGTTCAAGAGCATGTACAGACACTGCCTCGCAGAAACGAGCCGCATGCAGAGCAGGAGCAGGAGGGAGGAGGCAGTAAACTGCCTGAGCGTTGCACGGGACTTCAGGGCACTAACCTGCCTGCGTGCACCCTTCCATGCACCAGCAAAAATGAAAGAATAACCAAGCAAACCCCCTTTTTGGGAATGGAGGCTGGCAATGTTTTCCCAACAGCTGGAACAGTTTACCTTCACCAAAGACAGAAAGGTGGTGTAACAGAATTGATGGAGAAGTGGGAATATGCATCCGTGTGACGGTCCCCAGCACCAACAATCACCTCAAAGAAACTCGGCAGGTGGAGAGACCTACTTTGCTCGGATGGCGCTCAGATCGTTGCTGTGGCTGAGGAGCAGCTTGCATCTCTCCAAAATGCCGTTGGTTATGTTGTTACCGGGGTGCACGGTTTCCAGCCTGTGGCAGAGCTTGCTGAGATCACTGCAGATGTTCAGGAACATGCTGAGGATACGCCTGTCCGTGGAATTGTGACAGTGATGGTCCATGTAGGACTTTACCTGTACATGGGGAAAGCCAGAGAAATGACATTTAACTTATGCTGCTAAGTTGCTCAGGTTAGTGAGGAGAAGCTGCTTTCTCTCATGACTCTGCAGGTGTGAGCAGTGCCATGGCAGGTGTAAGACTTCTAGAGCACGCCTGAGAGGTTTGCTCGTCATTCATCACAGCTGCAGCAGGCTGGGGTAACGGACCTGCTCATCAGCACACCAGCGAGCCTTCCTCCCTCTGAAGAAGTGTGGGAATACCCCAGCCCAGAGCATCGCTCTGCTGCAGAAACAGGTTTGGCATGAGCAGAGTTTTCTGTCTGCTCTGAGCAGGGTCCCCTCTGCCCCTGCCACGGCTGTCCAGGCAGAGCGGGGCGGGATGTGTTTGCATCCCGTGTTCTTCATGGTTCTGTATTTGGCACCACTGGATGGTTCTGCAAAACTAAAACCATTTAACCTGAGTTGTCCTTACTAATTGTTACAGCAATGATGTTCCCTATTTGTTTTGAGGGTTTTTGTTACTCAGAGTGAATGGCATTGCATGACGGAACATTATGCCAAGAGATTAGGTATCTTCTCCAAAGAAATTACAGGCGCTTCAGACACGAGTGGTCAGAATATAAAATACCGAGCGACTGTTGGCAGTCAGAGCTGGACTCTAACACCTTCAGTGTTTTCTGTAAGATTTCAAGACAAGAACAAACTAGCTGCTCCAACATCGGTACAGCTTCTGCATACAGAAAAGCCATGCTATGTGCTTGGGCAAATTCTCAGCAGGTTTGTAAGAAAAATAAAAAATCGCCCCTAAGGAACCATTTCCTCTACAGCGTCCTCCTTCCACACTGTTTGCTGAGCGTTGTGTCCTTGTGAGTGGCAGAATTTTTTATTGCTGCTGTGAGCAGAAATAGTCCTAAAGAGAATAGCATTTTAGCCTGGATGTTCACCGGTGGGATAACAGGATTCTTTCTGTCCCCATCAACAACAGCCAGGTCCTGCACTGGCAGGGCCAGGACAGGGACCAGGACTAGGGGACTGATGGCTCGCAAGGGCTGCTTGGCTCTGTCTTAGGCAACTGCTGCCTCTTGAGCTGCGGCCGGGGGAGTTCACAGACAGCCCCTGCGCTGGGCCAGGGGCATGACCACAGCCAGGCTCTGCCGCGCAGGGGCTTGCTGAGTAATTTCAGTCTCTGGCTGAAGCCCTGACTGAGGAGCTTCTCTCCCAAAACCACTTGGGCTTTGACTTTATACCCTACCCCAGCCAGAGGGCTGCAGGAGCTGTTGCCATTTTCTGATGGTGGTGCGATCTTCGTCCCTTCCACCTTACTGCTCTCTCCTCTCTTCTCCGAGAAATGTCACCACTCAGCGCTAAAAAGTCTCCCACATACAGCTTTTAGAGGTTGGAAATGCAGCTGTATTCCCATCTAGGTGCAATATATTTTTTTTCTGTAGTTTCTATGTTTATAGGGCAAGAAAGCTGGCACTCAAGTCAGCTTGGCTTTCTCTCTGCCTCTGACCTCGAGCTGGGTCTTGTGCCTGTCTCAAATCCACAATTCTAATTTTATTTAGATTTCCGTCTCCCACATACAGCTTTTAGAGGTTGGAAATGCAGCTGTATTCCCATCTAGGTGCAATATATTTTTTTTCTGTAGTTTCTATGTTTATAGGGCAAGAAAGCTGGCACTCAAGTCAGCTTGGCTTTCTCTCTGCCTCTGACCTCGAGCTGGGTCTTGTGCCTGTCTCAAATCCACAATTCTAATTTTATTTAGATTTCCCCCCCCCACACTCCTTAAAACATCCCACGTTATAAAATTTCCAAGGCACATCACTTACCAGCCCCGACACCCCCCCCCCCCCCCCCCCGCGGGGGGCCGCCCCTCAGTGCTTC